TAAATGCTAATACCGGGCAGTGGCCGGCTTTACCTAGGGCCTATGGTGTGGGGAATGCGGCCCAAGCGAAGTGAATGGTTTATTGCTTGCCAACATCATTTATAATTGCACCATTTGCCCCCGAATTCAATCGAATCCGATCACTGCGGAAAATAAAGATTTTCCAATTTGATTGCGTGCCTACTAGAGGGCGCCAGTTAGCTCCTGCGCTGACATCAGGACACGTTTTGAGCATTTTCGAGTCTAGTTTGCGTTGTTGCATACCTACAATATTAAATAGTCGACAGAAAAATAAAAAAATAATTTATTAATTAAATACCTTATTTTTAATTTTACAAAGAAACATTTCAATTAACGCTATATTATGTTTTACAAATGACTTTATTTTAACAATATGAATTTTTATTAACTTAAATTTATTATTAATTGTTGAATGTAAACAAGCCTGCACTCTGCGAGCATGTCATGTCACCTACACATTCAATGAAGTTTGACAAACACCAGGTCATAATAATTTGTAAAACATAATGTAGCGTAAATTGGAATATTTCTTTGTAAAATTAAAAAGAAGGTGGTTTGCAATAAAATTATGTTTTCGTGATTTGGTGGAATGTTCAAAATCGTAATACATGAGATTTTAAAGCCAATTTAACGCAAATAATACGCACAAAGGAGCTAAGATATTGACAAATGGGCAGACGCATATCTACGCTTGTTTTTTTGTTGGCAGTGACAACATTTTGAAGTCAAAGACCTAATAATGCATCGACTTTGCGGCGTTTTCGCGATTAAACAGAAATAATGAAAACCAAAACATCGAAAGTATAGAGAAATATAACGAAATACGATAAATTTCGGATCTTACAGTGGGAGGTATTATCCATTCATATGTTATTCATCTCTTGTTATTACTAAACATTTTCAGGAAACTCTTGGACATGCCAAGGCGTAGTTACATTTTAAAATGACACTTGAATACCATCACCCAAACTGTATATACAGAAGCATAGCTTTGCAATACCATAAAGAGTGCAATATGTGATCGGCATACGTACAAATAATACAGAGACCATGATGTTGAAGCATTTGTTTAAAGACAGGCCAATGTTGTCTCTTTGAAATTATCATCTTATATGTTCTGTACTCGACTTCCTAAATAAATAATTTGCAATATCCCCTTCAAGTGATCGTCTAGATTCTTCCATTCTTGATTTCATGATTTCCTGTTGCCAAAACACAAACCTCAAGTAAATTGACGTGTAGAATCACAGTTATTTAACAACCTTCACACACGCCTTTGTACACGATATGTTAAACTTTTTTGCGTTGCACAATATGACGCGTCTATAAAATAATATTTTAATCAAACCTCTCGAGGCAATTATTATTCATGATGATTATGACCGGACGAACTCACCATTGTACTGGAGTTATGAATTGATGATATGAAACCTATCTATCACTGTATTAATGGTTGAGGAAATTTTATAAGCAAGTCGTGGATCCAATACCTACCAAGATATTAATATCGAGGTTTTTGCGATTGTTACACAATGAAAATGAAACATTTTTTTCAGGTCTAAATCGCGTAGGTGTATTCGCTTTCTCAAACAAACCAACGCCACTTTCGGCACTTAATAGGGCCGAAACGTTGGTTTGTGTGAAAAAATAAATATACGCGATTTAAATCCGTAAAAATAGTTTGTTTACAAGTCGTGCACCATTGCACCCGTCACCCTGCATGCACATAAATTGACGAGTCCCATGTGCCTGTAAAGTACTTCCCTGGACGAGCTCTTTCACAGAGAGCTCTACTGTTACAAAAAGGTTTCCAAAGATAGTTGACGATATTTCAAATAAGACGCGTATTCAATGCAAGCACGGTTTTAGTAAAATTGAATGGTAAGAATAAACGAACTATCCAACAACAAGTTTCTTTCGTAACCTTGGCAATATCTGAAAGACCATAGGTAGCTTCCTACTTTTCCCCAAAGAATACACAGTCTGAAATATACATTTTGGATTTTCTAAATTTGCGTCAGCTTTTCACTTATAGGTAGGTGTGAATTTAAGTCGTTGGTAGGTAATAACATTTAGCTCACTTGTTGAAATACCTATTAAGTGCATTAACCTTGTGTTGGCGTTGAATTCTTATCTTGACTCATAATCTTGTCTTTGCAACGTCTTTATTTGATCATACAAATTACCTTTATAGTAGTTCCACGTGTCAACAAATATATCATTACGACGATGTAATTTTTCTCTCCAAAATCTGACCTTACACACCTATTGCTCTAAATTAGTACAAAATTGACTAGTACTACGAGTATAAAGCTATAAATGTGGGGTGGCGGCTCGAAAATAAAAACAAATTCATGGGGAAACTAATTATTTTATATTTTCACTCGAAAATCGTACCGAACGTCTTATGCTCTCTCGCGCCATTCGTCTCCCTTCCCTCTCACACATGCTTTCTCGCTCGCACTCCTAGTGTTGTCGCCCTACATTCGGCTGTCCTGATTCTAGTCTGTCCTCAGACCTTCTTATAACAACATGGTTCAAAAACAATGGAATACTCGTAAGTTATGAATTTATTAGGCTCATTATGAATATATTAGGCTCACTATACCTTGGTAATAATAAACGAAAACGACATGAAATTATAAAACGTGGTTTACTTACTTGGAATAAAAGTTTAATACGACACTGGTTCTGCATACTTGCTACACATGATGAACTGAACACTTAAAGATCTAAGTTACAAATTTGCAAACAGAGTAAGTCTGGTAAATGATCACATTTTACAATACAAAATAACAGCTTACTTAATTAAAAATCTTAATAAAATTACAGCTATGATGAAAGATATTTGCAAAAATGTTAAACTACGTTCCTACTCATACATCCCTTTCATACATTGTTACTCTTACAAGTTGCTTACCCAATTTACAGTAGACTTATTCACCTAATTCTCCCACTTCTTCATTAAATCAGCTGAGCTGGAAGTTTTATGATGCCCCTCAGTAGCATTATCGACCTTCTCTACATCGTAGCGGTCATTTCGCTTGATCTTTACCACTCGGTAGGGCCCTAAATACTTAGGTTTCAGCTTCAGTCCTGGGCCATACTGTGTCCTTTTTATCGCCACCAAATCTCCTTCTTTGTACTTGATTTTCTGGTTTTATCAAAAGTCTTCCTATTTTCTTCTTGTGCTTTGAGAATTGTTCCTTAGGTTTGATTCTAATTTCTTCTCTATTTTCCATATATTCATCTATCTCTTCTTGTCTCAATAACTCCAAAATTTGTACGTCTTCTTTTGATCTCAGTTTAGTACCAATCGTAAGGTCGAATGGAGTAATGGTGATACTCCTTTGATAGCTACTATTCAAGGCTTTTTGCGCTCTACAAACATGTCTATACCATAATGAAGGATTTTCTATACACAGCTTGGTTAGTACAGCTAGAATAGTCCTGTGCAACCTCTCCACTTGGCCATTTCCTCTCGGAACTCCGGTGGGTGGTGATGGTAATATGCTGTATGTTCTCTTCTTGACAGTAATCTTGAAACTCACCACTCGTAAATGCTGTCCCTCTATTACTTATGATCCTCACTGGATTACCAAAGTGCTGTTGGTGTATTTTCAATTTATCTATAGTTTCCTTATTGGTGGTACTCTTAGTTGGACATATCCATGTGAACATGGTGAAAGCGTCCACTATTGTCAATATGTATTTATATTGTTTCTTCGTGTCTGTTAATGGACCCACCTGGTCTATATGCAGGGTGTGCAATGGAACCCTCTCCTTCTGCAACGGGTTTAGGTATCCCTCCTGTTTACCCGTTTTTTTTGTAGCTAATAGACATGGAATTCAGGTAATGACAAAATATTGAAGCTTCTTTTCTAAATCTGGAATATAGTAATCCTTTATAATTAACTCCTTCATCTTTTTCATTGAAAAATGTCCATTGCTGTGAACGCGTTTAATGATTTCCTTTTCAAGTGACTTGGGAATGACCAGCAGCTTTTGTTCGCCTTTGTATAAGAGTGCATTATCTAACCAATAATCTGCAAAAAGTTTTTTCTGTAGGACTTCGCACACAGCTTTCAGTCCTTCATCATTCTGCTGAGCCAATCTTATTTGGTCTTGTAAACTGCTCATCACCATAGTCATGCAGGGATTCCGGCCTAATGCGTCTGCATGCTGCATTTCCATACCTGGCCTATGTTCAATTTCATAATCATATTGCTCTAAGAACAGTACCCTGCGAGCTATTTTAGGTGTCAAATCCTTTTTCTTTAGCGTTAGCTCAAATGCTTGGCAGTCCGTGACTATCTTAAAATGGATGCCGAAAAGGTAGACTCGAAACTTCTTTACGCATTCAATAATAGACAAGGCTTCTAGTTCATAGCTGGAATACTTCGCTTCAGCCTCACACAAGAGAACGCTCTTACTCATATAACAGGGTGCCACCCAGCAGTGTGCAACTGTAAGAAAAGGGCAGAATATGCACCAGAGGATGCATCGGTATGCAATTCTGTTGGCAGATTAGAGTCATAAATCTTTAGGACTGATTGTCTCGTATTTTTCTCCTTAAATTCTGGAATGCATTATTTTCTTTCTCTCCAAACACTAATAAAGCATCCTTTGTTAATAAATCGGACAGTGGTTTCATGCATAACCTTTTATGTACTTCCTAAAATATGATGTTAGACCAAGAAAACTGCGAACTTGCCTTTCGTTTTCTCGCGCCATTCGTCTTCCATCCCTCTCACATATGCTTTCTCGCTCGAACTCTTAGTGTTGTTGCCCTACATAAATGTTTTTGGTTTTTTTAACGTCTTTCGTTTTTACAATGTATGTACATCTGTTATTATTGCGCTAAAAACAACAAAGGTTCTTGTTGGCAAATGCACCCCAAAACTGAAGAGACTCCGCACAAACTTAACCCACCATTTTTTATGTTGATTGGTCACATCCACATTTTTTTATATTTACAGGCCAGCAATGGGCCTGGGGTATACGAGTGTGGGACTTCAGCATTCGCGGTCGGCGGTGCTGCAGGCACAGGTGCCACCACACTACCGGCCTGTGATGCCAGCTAATAACATGCTAATCAACAGCGCCTCCAGCGGCAACGTGCCGCACCAGACAGTAAGTCTACTTACTTACGTACTTTGAAGAGACACTGTTATTTACGTAACTAAGAATAGACAAAAATGGTGTGGATAAATAATTTATCAATAATTTATACTTCAATGGTGAATTGAGAAAAAATTTCAAGTCTTAGAATATTAGTCAATATTCTAAGACTTGAAATTTAGTCTGCTTAAATTGGTCGACACGTGAAAAGTCGTAATAATAAATCTTGAGTTTCAGTCGGGTCCACGCGTGCACTTCAAACTGCAGCCGCAACATGCAATAATTCCGGAAAAGAAGAAGTCTCCGCCATCTTCTCTGACTAACGGCAACGGCAAGAGTATTCGCCCGCAGTCATTCACTGCGGGTCTGAAGCGCTCCAAGTCCTTGACGTCTGCAGACGCGTTGGCTAGCGGAATGGCGGCGCTGGGACTGGCCGCCGACGCAGGCGATTTGGGCAGTTTCCCGCCTGAGATACAGGAATGCATTGACAAGGCTCTTGAAGGTGAAGAATGCAAATTGATTATATTAGTACACCATACTGTATTATTGTAATTAGATTTTATACTGGTAATTGAAGTGGCGTAAGTTCAATTTAAGATGTAGAGAGAAAACATGTTGAAACAATCATAAAAATCGTATTGAGTTCGAAATCTTTCCAGATCCAAACGCGGTATGCGCCCGCACCCTCATGGACGCTGTAGGTCATCTAGTATCACGCGCAGTCGAGTCTCCGCGATACGCTTTGCCGGCCGCGCGCCGCTGCATCGCCGTGGTGGAACGCGAACAAACCGAGACCTTCCTCGAATCGCTGCTTAACACATGCCAACAGTGGTACCACGACCGCGAGAAGGTGAGCATGAGCTGCCGCCCATCCACACGACATCAGCTTTAGAGCAAACTCTGTTTGCGCAACCAAAAACGAATTATAATCCAATATCCTGCTGTGTCATGTCCAGATATATCTTTTTAATAAAGTAGTGTGAAGAAAGTCTGTTAAGAACCAATTTGTTTGTAATTTTTCAGTTGCTAGGCGCTGTGGTAGGCGGCGGTAGGCCACGTCTTATGGCATTTCTGTCGTTCTTGCTGGAGATGTACTGCCAGCTGCGGCGGCGAGCCATACAGCGACGTGGCGCCTCGGCTCAACCTGGCCAAGTGCTTTTGACGCTCATCTGCAAGTGCTGTGAGGACTGCATCCGCCAGACTGTGCCGTCTCCTAGCGATGTAAGTGTTGATTATAATATCCATTAATTGTTCCTTAGATACAACTAGCACCATCTGTTGTTAGCTATGAGAAGCTCCATAGATTGTACTTTATACTTCAAGAATAAAATATCTGTTCGTTACCAACAACCAACGTGTTTGATTTATAAGAGGTTATGGGCAACTAAAAATCAAGAAATCTCGCGATATATTGGCTATTTTGAGCAGAATTAATATATTTGCAGACAGAGATAACGTTGTGTGTGTGAACTCCGTGAAAATGAGTGCAAATTACGTGGCCAGTGTACCTAAATTGCGAGGTCGTGAAAATTATAGTGAGTGGGTTTTCGCGGCAGAAAACTTTCTCGTATTGGAAGGAATGTCGAATTGCATTAAAGCAGAAGATGCAACGGTTTCAAAGGAGGATGACGCGAAAACAAAAGCGAAGTTAATAATGACGATTGACTCGGCGCTTTATATACATATAAAGCAAGTAAAAACCACACGAGAATTATGGTTGAAACTGAAAAATCTCTTTGACGACTCGGGTTTCTCAAGACGAATCAGTTTATTGAGATCATTGATTTCGATCCGACTTGAAAACAGTGCTTCTATGACTTCATATGTGACGCAGATAATAGAAACGAGTCAGAAGTTAATTGGAACAGGATTCAACATAAATGAAGAGTGGATTGGTTCCCTATTGTTAGCTGGATTGCCTGAAAAGTATTTTCCTATGATAATGGCCATCGAGCATTCGGGAATCTCGATCACCGCCGACGCCATTAAAACAAAATTGTTAGACATGGAAGAAAGCGGTAGTAGCGGCGATACTAATGGAAACAGTGCTTTTAGCAGTTTTCATAAAAAGAAAACTGGCAACACTTATGGAAATAAACAAACGCCAAAGACAAAAGTCATCCATTGCTACAAATGCAAACAGACCGGCCATTATCGCAACCAGTGTCCGAATAACGAGAAGAAATCTGCTGAAAAAACACTTGAATATAAACGAACAAACGCTTTTAGTGCCGTATTTTTGAACGGGAACTTCAGCAATCATGATTTTTATGTAGATTCGGGCGCAAGTGCTCATTTAATCGCGAACGAAGATTGGTTAAGAAACGTGTCGCACGGGCAAACAATCAAGGAAATTGTGGTTGCAAACAAGCAAACAATTCCAGTTAAATGTTCAGGTGAAGTACAAATTTTGACATCAGTAAACAACAGTGTATATGAAATAGTTGTTAAAGATGTGTTATGTGTTCCATCATTGACAACAAATCTTTTGTCAGTGAGTCAATTAATTGCAAAAGGCAACAGTGTGAAGTTCACAGACAACGGTTGTGAAATATACAACACAGCAAGAGATCTAGTGGCAACAGCGTGCTTGGTCAACGGGGTGTACAAGTTGAACATGCCAGATTGCTTGTCAGCTGCTATGGTGGTGACAAATGAAATTTGGCATCGCAGATTTGGACATATAAACAGTTCGTATTTGAACAAGATGACAGATGCCGTGGAAGGGTTAACACTTGACAGAAAGACAGATATAACAAAGTCGTCATGTGTTGTATGCTGTGAAGGTAAACAGAGTCGTTTACCATTTCCACAGAAAGGCACTAGGAGTCAGGAACTGCTACAGTTAGTGCACACAGATTTATGTGGCCCCATGGAAAAACTGTCCATAGGTGGGTCAAAATATTTCATGCTACTTATTGATGACTACAGCCAAATGACACACATATATTTCTTGAAGAGCAAAAGTGAAGCGTTGCATTATTTTCAACAATACAAGGCTGAGGTTGAGAACCAGCTGAACCATAAAGTCAAGAGTTTGCGCAGTGATAATGGAACAGAGTTCTGCAACAAACTGTTTCAGGAGTATTTACAGCAAGAAGGGATAATTCATCAAAAAAGCAACCCTTATACACCTGAACAGAATGGTTCAGCAGAGCGCAAAAACCGTACTGTAATAGAAAAGAGTAGATGCTTGTTGTTTGATGCCGGCCTAGATAAGCAGTTTTGGGCTGAGGCCGCCAACACAGCTGTATATCTGCAGAATAGAACAATTGCTGCTTCTCTGAATGGGAAAACACCATTTGAAATATGGACAGGCTCAAAGCCAGATGTGAGTCATCTAAGGATTTTTGGCAGCACAGTCATGGTGCATGTCCCCAAAGAAAAAAGATTGAAGTGGGATAAGAAATCAGAAAAATGCATTCTTGTGGGATATCCTGACAATGTCAAAGGATACAGAGTGTATAATCCCAGAACAAAAACTGTCAGTACTAGTTGTGATGTGATTATAGTAGAAAACACATTAGAAACAGAATCGAAGATTGTGATCACTGAGAAGTCAAGTAAAAAACTGGACAAGACACAAGATGCTTCAGATGTCAAGAAGGAAGATGGAAGAGAATTATCTAGTGCAGATTCAGTGGGGGATCCTGAATCTTTAGAGGTGTCTCATATGAGTGATTCTACTATGAAAGCGACAGATAGTACAGTTATTTCATCAGAACTTTCTGATGATGACGATGATACTTTTTTACCATGTGAAGTGACAAATAGTTCCGACAGCAGTTTGGAACAAAATGACACTGTTGAATGGAGACGTCAACCTGTAAGAAATAGAAAGAAGCCAGATCGATATGGTTTTTCTCATGCCTGTGGTACCATTCAAGATGAAGATGTATCTGGTGAACTTGTCTTGCGTGAAGCTCTGAATGGACCAGAAAGAGAGCAATGGTTAGCTGCAATTGGTGATGAGTTACAGTGTTTTGAGGACAATGGTGCATGGGAGCTAGTCGATCCTCCTAAAAATGGTACTATTGTGCAGTGCAAGTGGGTTTTGCGGAAGAAATATGACAGTGACAATAATGTGAGTTATCGTGCCAGACTGGTGGCCAAAGGATTTTCACAGAAATATGGCATTGATTATGTTGAGACTTTTTCGCCTGTGGTAAGGCATAGCACACTAAGATTATTATTTGCTTTGTCAGTACAATTAGAACTTGATGTAACTCATTTAGATGTGAAAACTGCATTTTTAAATGGAGAGTTAGAAGAGATCATTTATATGGAAAAGCCTGAATGCCTAGACTCACAGTGTAACAAAGTTTTAAAACTTAAAAGGGCAATTTATGGCCTTAAGCAGGCTTCGAGGGCCTGGAATAAAAAAGTGGATAGTTGTTTGCTTTCTAATGGCTACACACAGTCAAAGTTAGAGCATTGTATGTATATTAAAAATGAAAATCAATCAAAAACCATAGTCACAGTTTATGTTGATGATTTTTTCATTTTTTCAAATAATGTTGTTGAAGTGAACCGTCTTAAGATTGCATTGAATAAACAATTTAAGATTAAAGACTTAGGTCAAGTCAAACACTGCTTAGGTATGAATATAAACTTCAACAAAACAGAAGGTTCTGTTACTTTAAGTCAGGAAAGTTACATTGACAAATTGTTGAATAAGTTTCATATGTCTGAGTGTAAACCTGTTGATACTCCAATAGAGTATAAATTGAATGTTGGTATATGTGAAAACCAAAATAAAAATGTAAATAAACATATTCCTTATCAGCAACTGATAGGCAGTTTGATGTTTCTTTCAGTTTTAACTAGGCCAGATATCAGTTATTCTGTAGGATATTTAAGTCAATTTAATAATTGTCATACAGAGGAACATTGGAGTTATGCTAAAAGAATACTTAAATATTTAAAGAAAACAAAGTCATTTGGTATAAAATACTTTAAAAGTGGAAATTCTCAGATTATAGGTTTTGTTGATGCAGATTGGGCCAGTAATATTATAGATAGACGCTCATATACTGGTTTTTGTTTTTTGTTATGTAATGGTGTCATTTCATGGGAATGCAAGAAACAAAAGACAGTGGCCTTGTCTAGCACTGAAGCTGAGTATATGGGGTTGTCAGAAGCTTGTAAGGAGGCAGTGTACCTACGAAGTTTGCAATGTGAAATCACAAACAATATGTATACTTTTAAGTTGTTTAACGATAATCAAAGTGCTCAGAAATTAACTGAAAATCCGATATTTCACAAAAGGTCTAAGCACATTGACATCAGATATCATTTTTGCAGAGAATGTGTTTCTAATAAAGTTGTAACAGTACATTATATGCCTACAACTGAAATGCCAGCTGATATTCTAACCAAAGGTTTGTGTAGTAATAGGCATTATAACTTTATGAATAAGTTAGGTATAGTTCCTGTTTAAAATTGTATTTTTACAACTTATGTTTATTTTTAAATGTGTTAATGGATATAGTGGGGGTGTTGATTATAATATCCATTAATTGTTCCTTAGATACAACTAGCACCATCTGTTGTTAGCTATGAGAAGCTCCATAGATTGTACTTTATACTTCAAGAATAAAATATCTGTTCGTTACCAACAACCAACGTGTTTGATTTATAAGAGTAAGTCACCACGAGTTCGGTTTGTGTCTGTTATGTGGTGTCATCTGGTCTACTTGAGAATGGGAGGTTTTCAACAACCCATTACCGTGAGTGTACTTGTTCTAAAGGTGCTGCGAAGTTTGAAACGGTTTCCCTTGTCCTTGGTACAATCGGTCTACTTTCCCTATTCGTTTTCTTCGCTAGAACCCCTTGTGCGCGAACATAGTTTTCTCGCAGCGAAAGTACCTTGTATCTCAGACCTTGCATCCAATAACCTTCGTATTCTTTATTTTTAAAGATTTCTTAGATTCTGTTTAAAGAATATTTTTATCCATTTTCAGACGGAAAACCTGTTCTTCGTGCTAACCTACATCGGGCGTGACCTCGAAGCTCAACTTCCTGGGGACCTAGAACGTTTGTTATCGGCAGTCCGCGACGCGTTCCTCAACACTGCCGCCGCACCTTCCATACGCCGCACTTTGCTGCAACTGATCGAGCTCCATGCTTCGCGCTGGCAGCTGCCAGGTTGCGCAGTACTGTACTACTACCCTTCCTCCAAATAAGTATAAGCTAAATCGCTAGTGTTATTGCTAGTAAGATTAGCTATAAGATGCAATTCTCATCAGCAATTCCTCTGTGCAGTTGGACTTATTCCAAGCACTGATAAGTGCACATTGGCTGTAGGGAATTTATTCAAGCAATTTCGATGTGTAAAATGCAAAGTGACCGATAATCGCCATCCATAAATATGTAGATGTATACGATGTCTAGCGGATGGATGATTTGGTATCCAAATTTGAAGTGTACAAGGACCAAAATTTAGGTAGATGAAGTACTGATCACATGGTCCAAGTTTGCGAGAGTCTGATGATTCGAAAACTGATGTTTAACCGTCAGTATTTATCGTAACAGTGAGGAAGGGTTAGGGTAAGTGTTAGGTTTGAAGGGTAGCCGATATATAGCATACAAAACAAGCATTTCTTTTTGTTTGTATTCGTTTGGACGTGGTAGATTTCAATTGTAGTTTACGTTAGTCGAGATCCCATTTTTTTTGTCAAGTGTACCATTAAATGAATCGTAGGCATGGAAGCTGCCATAAGCTTATTATCTCATGTGCCTTTATTATTAATTCCATTCTCATAGCATTCAAGGTCTAATACCTACCTTAATGCTAACGCAAAAAAATTCTAATTCGGTATTAGATGCTCTTAAATTTGTGAGAATGTAAGCGTAAACTTAAAATTAAGGTTCTAGAAGGAATTAGCTTAGGTGAATTTTAAGCGGATATATGCCTTAAAAGTATTAAACAAGTACTTTGTAAATTAAGTAGTTGGCAAATAGCGGTGTACGCTACTGTACGATATTCGCATAGTACTTTGTGCATTGTTTCTTTTGTCGGATTTTATCTAACTTTTGCCATCTTTAGTAGGCCTAACATTTTGCTTGTGTAAGTTTGCCTTGGAACAACTTTTGCTTCGCTTAAGAGTAGTTGTTCGTAAGTTATTTTAAAATTAATGCACTCTGGAATTTAGTTTTTTTTTTACTTTTAAGCAATTGACTAGGCTGAGTATGTACAGTCATATTAGAACTATTACACACGGCGATTTTTAATAGCACGCCTGCAGCGATTACGTCGCGATGCACGTTTTATCATACTAGTGTCGCGATACAATCGCGCGATTGTGTCGCTGTTAAAGTCGCCGTGTGTAACCGCTCTTAGGGAGTATAAATTTAAAAGTATAGCACGTGACTGTACCTTAATAATTCAACTAAACTTTTCACTTTTAAAAGGTTTGACTGATGTTCTCTAATGGAATTATATCAATGTTTATGCTTGTGATATTATGTTAAATTTAAGTTGTAGTCTCTGATTTATCTTTTCTATCCTAACCAAAGACTGTACTGATGTGGAAATTTTAATTTATTAACAAACCATTGTAATTGCAACTTGTTGAAGCTGGACCAAATTGTCATGTTTTACGTTTCAAGTTTGGCCTTCTCCGTGTAACCGAAGTTCAGAGCCTGAAACGTAATCCCTCAGTGTATATTGTCTTCATTATATTATTTTAGTTCTACGACTTGTGTGATCAATATATCCGAACATATAAACTAATATTTAAATCTAGTTACAATACGTAAATTCAGAAAACTTATATAAAAAGACCATAAGAGTTTCGTTATTATTAATGCATTCGTAGGTTTTTAAGGTAATGGTATGTTTGTATAAAAAAACGAGAGAAAAAAAACAAAAAAAAATGGTGCTAACAAAAATATTGGTATATTGTATAGTTAATCGGACACGGGCAATAACTGTTCTTGCTGTCATACCGTTGTATTTTGTACATACATACATAAACCAATAAACTTAAATATAAATATATAGTGGTTTTGTTTACTCAAATAAGTATGTACCTACCATAGATTTAGTATACCTACGAGATGATAAAAAGCTCGGCTTGGGCTTCATACTTGCTTTTGCAGTTTTGAAAAAATCTTACAAATTAGCCTAATAATTATTAGTGTAATGGAACAGCACGGAATTGTTCTGTGAAATAGGGTTAGCTATCAGTACTCCGAAATGACATTTTCCAGAAATAAAGTTTGGTCGAAATTTCATAACCTCCAAAGTAATTTTGAGAGGAAAATGTTTTTTCTTTTAAACCTAACTAAACCCCTTTTTTTTAATCCGGAGAAATGCGTTACGCATACCACCGTGCCGGGTAGGCGTGGGGTTATGTGGGACTCTTTCCCGAGGGAAGCCTACCCACTAAAACTCCGGGGTGTTCCATTCAGCCGCTTAGTGGGGGTTATGGTACCCATTACCCACGACCCCCAAAGGGCGGACGTTCGAGGCATTTGTTTGGCGCGCGAACCCTCTCAAGTGGCCTTTGGCATTGATGCACCTAGGGGCGGCTTCCTGGAACACGTGGAAGTGGAAGGCGACGAGTAATCACCGACTTGTGTTCCGTGTTATAAAGAAGGAGTCCACCGCCTCACACCTCTCGCTTCCGACCATAGACTTGACTACGGCCGGTAACGAGAGATCGTGTCCCACCACGGCTACCATTGCCGCCCACTCCGGGTATTCCACCAACGTGCTGCGCCGTATCTTTGTCGCAGCCACAATGATGGCAGACAGAGGTCGGTTCTCTCCCAGCGACCTTGTACAAGTATCTCCCGAAGCATCCATGCCCCGAGAGCACCTGTACCAGTCGATAGGTGAGCGGCCCCTGCCGCCCCTCCACCCATTACTTAAGAATTGGCCGCACTGCACCAACCGTACGGACGCCAGCAGTCGGCTCTTCCAGCCGTCTTTTCCATTTTCGGAATAGCTCCCGCCTCGCGTTCATTCTCCACCTGTGGACGTCTCGAAGCATAGATCTGCCCCTTTCCTCCTGGCGTCAGCCGTATGGGTGTATATGGCCTTTAAGACCTTCGCCTCTAGGTCCCATATAGGGGCTCCCGCGGTGCGATATGCCCTCGCCACTCTGATCGTCATGACCCGTTGCGGTCTCCGCAACAGCGTCCTGGTCTGGGCATACAGCCCATATAGGAGCCCCATAGAGAGCCATGGCCCTGACCACCCCTGCGAAGAGGCGACGGCACCCTTCTCCTGGGCCTTTCAGGTTCAGCAGTAGTCGAGCAAGCATTGACGCCGTCTCAGCCAGTTTTGGCGCCAGCGCAGCGAAAAGCTGTCCAAACCTCCATTGACTGTCCAGTGTGATATTTCGTTTTGGAGCCGACTTGGATGGAGGTCTCGCTCACCACTAGGTGGGCGCCTACCGGTGGGCCATTCCGAGGTCCATGGAAACACAGGACCTCGAATTTGTTCTGGGTTACCTTTAGCCCTAGCCGGCGGATTTTCCCCTTTACTTCTGCCACATCCGCCGTTTCCAGGATGGACGCCTCCTTATAGTATTCGTCGCGGACTTTCACCAACGTGTCGTCTTCGTAACAGACGACGTCGACTCCAGGCATGAGACTCCCACGTAACACCCAGTCGTATACGATGTTCCACACGAGCGGTACCAGGACCGACCCTTGTGGAACACCCCACGACGCTTCCCATCGCCCCCACACGTCTCTACTGGAGAACATCACCTGACCCCCGGATAGGTAGGTTGCGATCACTCTCTGCAGATAAGGCTGCACCCGGTGATATTGGAGCGCCTCCCTTATGCATTCCCATGGCAAGGAGTTAAACGAATTAGTGATGTCTAAAGACACCGCTAATACCATCCCGCCACGAGATACCTCTTCTGGCGAAGCCGAACTGAACATCCGCCAAGTTCGGACTTATTTCCTCCAGGTGGCGGATGAGGCGGGTTGCAATAACGCGCTCAAAGAACTCTTGCCTTAGGCACGCGGTGAGGAGTGCCCGGAAGCGGGTATCCAGGCTGTTTTTTTAGGCCGAGGAGCCATGCGTGTCCGGGGATTCCGTCTGGTCTGGGTGCCGTTTCCTTTGCTTGAAGTCGCAACACGGCTGCACCCAGCTCACCCTCTGACACTTTCGGAATATTCCCATCCGCCATAGGGCCCGTCTGTGTGTCCAGGGGCCTCATTACAGGAGAGAATAGTGGGGCCTCCTTGGGAACACCCCACCACCTTGTTCAGAACCTCAGGTCGTTAGTGGCGGGGTCCATGGGCGGAGCTTGCTCATTATCAATTTATATGGCAGCCCCCATGGATCGCGATCAAGAGTCGGTAGGAGCTCTTCCCAGCTGACCTGCTTGGCTATCCAAATGGCTGTCCTCAGCGCCAACTTCGTCTCCTTGTACGAGGTATGCCGACGAGACTCCTCCTCCTCGTCTCGCTGCCTCCGTCTCCGGTAGTGGGTGTACTGGCGTCTGCTCATCGCACACGTGGTTCGAAGGTGTACGAGTTCTGCAGACCACCAGTACACCTGCCGCCGAGAAGGGAGTGGTTTAACTCGTGGCATGGCAACATCACACACGTGTGACGCGTGCTTCCAGCTCAATGGACTCCGGTGCAGAGGACCAAGCTAAGAACGCTTCCACGAATGCGTCCCTGTCCGAGTGCTTTAGCGCCCATTTTGGACCCAGTTCCCCGGGACCTCGACCTGGACTGTTCAGAGCCGCTGTGTGTGCGGCCACGTGACATCGGCCGTACAAGTGGTCTGACAACGTCTCCACTCCCTGTAGAACCTCCCAGCCCTGAACCCGCCGCACCAAGCCGGCGCTAGCGAATGTGACGTCCGCGATTGAGCCGCCCTGAGACCGCACGCACGTGTTTGCCAACTCTTGGTTTAGGACCACTAGCCCTTGGGCAGCCAGCCACTCCTCCACCACCTCCCCCCGGGCATCCGTCGCCGGGGATCCCCTTACCGTAGACTTGGTATTGGGATCCCCCGCGACGAGTACCTGATAGGGATTGGCCCATTCGATGAGGGTGTCCACTTCCGCCAAGAAGCTCTCGAACTCGGCGAGATCCTGTTCGGCCAGATGTAGACACCGATTACGACTGTGTTCTCCACTTGTGCTGCCAGACATTCCCGGTGCCTCATGACTCGCTGGAATGGCGATGAGCCGGCTGAAATATTCGTGGCGATAGCCACTGTGTCCCCACCCGCTATTGGCGATAGCCACTGTGGTCAGCTACCCATTTGTCCCGGGCGAGAACTAAATAGGGTTCGGTCACTATCACAATCTGTATCAACCACTGTGCCATGCTCTTTCCGACCAAAAGATTCCGAGCATCGACACAGTGGTTGATATTTCCCTGCAGGAACGTAGTAGCCATTTAATCAGTGGCTATTTCCACCACCTTAGCCGATGAATATGGGCGGACAAGCCGCGGCTTCTCTGGCTCCAGCGGCAGGTGGTCCTCTGTCTCGTTTCGGGACTGGGGGATTGCACTGTTTGCTACCCAGTCTATGTTTAGTCTGCTTGCCAATGTCCGCACACAGAGTGCAGTGTGGTTCGGCAGAGCAGGCTGCCTTGTGCCCCGATTGGCCGCAGCGATAGCACAGCGTGTTCCGGTCATTTGTGGCGGTACACCGCTCCCGGACATGTCCTAACTCGAGGCAGCGGTAGCACCGCGTTTCTCACTGGGGCAACAGCTTCACACGAACCATTGCCTACCCAACCTTTAGCCCGCTTACCACTTTCTTGGCAGCGGTTACCGGGCATGGCACCACCGCGGCGCCGAGACCAGATCGGTCCTACCGGCTGGGTCCGACCCTGATTTGATCCGCAGGGCATCCTCCGGTTCTGAATATTGCCGTGGCAATTTCATCGGCCGTTATGAAGTCGTCCAAACCTGCTAGGCGCAACTCAGTGCTCATGACGGATCTAGACACCCTGATGTTTTCCTCCTTGAACTTTGCGGCGAGAGAGTCGGCCTTACCTCTACCATAGTGGCTCCGATAGCTGCCATTCGAAAACGAACGGCCTGAATGCCAAGGTCAGAAAGATCAATCTTTCTGACCTTGAAACATCAATGCTTGCCTTGGCCGTGGCAATGGCCGCGCCATATGTCAGCTCCTTATCCAGTTCCGGCTGCAGAGTGAGGACCACCGCTGCGGACCTCGGAGCTTCGCTTTGGTAGTGCCTCACCCGGAGTGCTTGAGGCAGGTGCTGCCTTTTTGCGCTTCTTCTTTTTTTTGGCCGCTTACGCTTGCGGCACCAGTTGAGAAGAAGGGGCTTTCTGCCCCTTCTTAGTAGCCGCACTATACGAGGCGACTACAGCCTCTGGCACTTGAGGTGTCTGCACCCGCTGGCGTCTGTCAGCGGCCAGAGGAGGGCGAACCCGCACCGGTGGAAGCAGCCTGTCCTCAATGCCCTCGAATCGCGCGTCCATCATGGCTCCTGCCCACCGCATAAAGAGGCTCTACATCTCCTCCATGTCAGGTCGCTGCCCGCTAGGCGCAAATGATGCATGCGCTCGTACGGAGGCCACCTCACACGCTTGTAAGGAGGCACAACTGTTTCGTTATAATTCGGTTTTCGGTGTAATGAAAATTTGAACAAATGTTATTTCGGACAAAAAATTTTCGAGTTTGTGTTAGGTTACCGTGAAATAGAGGCAGTAATGGAGGTATTCCTCTGTTTTACTTAGTTTACAATACGTGGACTAGATGGCACTAGGTCCATAAAGTAGAATATCAAAGTATGAGTGACTTTACAATTATTTTGATGTAACAATTTTTGTGAAGTACTCTCGTTTTTCATTCGTAATGTGATTTCAAATAGTAAAAAAGCTATACCTACGGGCTTTTCATATTTGATAGTTCTTTACGCACTTTTTGTAAAGAATAATTAGGGAGCTTTCAAAGACAATTTTAATGATGTAAAAATTGAAATCGGTCGTCCATTTGTCGTATTGTGTTCGGATCCGTACCTTAAATATACGGAAACAAAAACTACCGTTTAGAAGAATAGAGTCAAAATTTGGCTAGCGATTTTTTCCTACCACGTCACGACATCCTTTGCTTTTCAAAGATTTTCACTTCCACTTAAAAATCTATTGATTTTATATCTCTATCAAATTGTTGTTAATAAGTAAAAAAAAAAGTATGTAGAGTAAAATTTATATTTCGTGCCTCACAACTATGACTTTATTTTTTTTTATAACACTTTGTTGTATTTTTATAGCGCCACACTAATTTTAGCATAATGGAAATGTTAGTGTTAGACTGTATTAGCTAACATTTCCGTAATTAAACATGTTTATTGTTCATCCAAATCAAATCAAATTAAAATTTTGCTCCCGCTAAACTATATTTATTTTAGATGCGCCATAAGGATGCAGCAATGTATTATTAAAGGGCACCAAAATTAATTGTTTGCCAAATGGTGTTTGTGGCCGACTTGTCGTTCAACATTAACTTTAACTATGTATTATACCACCGGCACCGTTTCATTCACAATACAACCAATATTATTCTCAGGCTTGAGCAATTTTTAAACTGACACGAGTCTTATTGAACACAAAACAACCTTGAGTTTCTGAACGTTCCTTAATTGTGATTGGACGATCACAATTTACCAACTTCATGACATCCATACCCGTATTTTGTTGACTTGCTGCCTACTTCATTCAAGTGCTTTGTGTTGTTTGCTGCCTGTGGTGACGAACCTGTATTGAGCGACTCGCCGCGAGTTCTCTGTAATGTGACCTGTTGATTAAAAATAATCACCGCATTTTGTGCTATTACCTGTGATAAACATGACTTGATGTTGTCGGAAAATGTGCTGAGTGGTGCTAGTTAAGTGTTCGGTGCAAAATGGGTTTGATAACTTCTCGTGATCAAGCTATGTTGGAGGGGCCGGTTGCGCCGACCAAGAGCAGTCATGTACGCCAGCCAAGCACCAGAAGCCGGGCAAAGCCCCCGATGCCCGATCGGGACGAGCTGGAGAGCCGATTCATCAAAGTTCTGGTAAGTTGACTCCAACTTGAATTTTTCGACAGAAATTCGCCGGTCTTTGTTTACAAACACGTTTATGTTTACAGCCAGTAATTCGATTACTTGTTTGTGCGGTGCAAGCGTTGCATTACGTTTCTCGAGCCCTGTTTTTGCATTTGAAGGTTGTATATTAAATTAACCCTTTTTTTAATTACAAAACATCTTTGCCAAGATGATTGCAGACGGTATTGAATAGCGGAGAGTACTTGCAATAAAATGCAGTTTGAATTACAAGTCTTATTATTTTATGCTCTAATTCAATTACATTTGTTTTTGGTGTAATTCCACCCAGATCTTCTTCAAAATGTTACTTTTTAAAAAACAAAGTTTTTCGTTATTCATATGAACAAATAAAATCTGTCTCTTGTATCCTGTCTTTTGTCTTTGTATTGGTTCCTATGTACAATAAGGACTATTTGTATTGTATTGTATGAAATCATATTTTAATTGAGAAATGAAGCCACTGCTATCAAAAACATACATTCATTGTACATCCGCTTCCTATTACAAAATATCTCTTTCCTGTTCTATTATCAATTTTATCTCTAGTGTCTATGAAATATGTTCTAATTTATCATTTTCCACTTCATTATCTATAATGACGTACAATAATAAATCATATAAGTAATACAAAAGTATGACAAATTTATATACACTTCATTTGATGAAAATTAATTGTGCATGGAATATTGTTATACTCAACAAACAGAAATATGTCCGATTGCGAAGAAATTGACAGCACCAGGAAAAGGAAATAAAAAAGTATACTTTGTTCATATTTTTATTTAATTTGTGCGCGCCCACAACATGAACTGTCAGGACACTGAAGTAGTCAGTTTTGTTGCTAATTTTTTTAAATTATTTGAATGTGGGATTGTTTTTAGGTAGTATATATATATTAAGAAATAAAAGAATAAAAAATGTCTTTATTAATTTTGTGTAGTTTTTGGTTCAGTATTTCATATTTTTACCCATTGAATTTAAGGGCAGAATTTTTTGTTTTAAATTAAGTGGACTTGACCACTACCTAGCTCTGGAGCAAATTTACGACCTACGAAGGAGCTTGCCCAGAAGTTGCCTATTCAGTCGCACCATGAAGAGACTCAGTTTGTATTAATTAGGAAAAACAGTTGAAGGCAGGGAATTCCATTCGTAGGCTGTGCGCATATTAAAAAATGATAAAAAGTGCTTAGTACACCTGAAGGGAATATCGACCAAGTAAGGATGATATCCTGCTGTAAGTCTGGATGTCCGATGGAAATGGGGTCAAGCAGGGTGAGCAGATGTAGCTCACACACCCCGAAATATAAATTCCAATTGCAGTAACACATAAAAATTTACTGACTAATTTGGGGGAGGCCTATGCACAGCAGTGGGCGTCGTATGGCTGAATGATGATGATAAAAATTTACAAAGGAAACTCCCGTGACCTTTCTTAGATAGGAAGACAAACACACAAGTAGATAAAAAACACAAAATATAAAGTGACTCATATTGACTGGAATTCAATACAATAATGTTACTAATTTAACAATAACTTTGATATTAATGAAGTACTGCTTTTAATAATAACTGAGCTGTAATGATAACAGTATCAATGTTATGGAAATGTTAATTAAAACTGTCATTATAATGCTGTGATTATTAACATAAACAAGATTATAATATTTTGTATGCTGCATAACTTGCCCAATTCGCGTTTTGAGTGCTACACTCTAGCAATCCCTTTTACTTATACTAATTAAGCTTTTAATATATTTTAAGTAGCAATAAAGCTCTTTTGATTTTTAGTGCTCTTTTTAGAGCTCTTTGTGTTCATTTAGGGAAGTATTGATTCCATACCCATTTCTACCACTAAGCAGTAATGAGTGCATTTCTGCATTCCAGTTTTGAAAGGTAAGGGTGCTGATGAAACTGCAGTCACATGGGGCTTGACAACTTCATGTCTCTGGATGACAGTGGCAGGGCCTCTCAGATCGTTGTGGCTTAAAACTCCGAGTGGCACTGCAACTGTTACGGATAAGCATATTGCTTGTCACCAGGTTCACGACTTGTTTATCCTGTCACTCCATAATCATAAAAGTTGAAAAAAATTTAGTAGCAGTACAGCTCAATGTGAAAAAGTTCGTCCAGGGAAGTAATGCAACGTTACCTATTTCTGCCGCCAAGCAGTAATGTCAGCATTACTGCGTTCCGGTTTCGAAGGGTAAGGGTGCTGGTGAAATTATAGGCAAATGAGACTTTTCAACTTATGTCTCTGGGTGACGGGCGCAGTGACAGTTGCCTCTCAGATTTTTGCGATTTAAAGCTATGAGTGGCAGTGCGACTTTTATGGCCAGGCGTGTTGCTTACCATCAGGCGTACGACTATGTCGTCCCGTCACTTACTGTAATAAAAAAAAATGGTATCTCAATATATCTTTAGAACACACGCAATTTCTTTAATTTTAATCTATGATACTAAATCATGCAAATTATGAATTTTATCAATTTGAGTTTTATTTAACAGTGCCTTTCTATGTGTCATGAATTTGTTTTATTATTTTATTTTTAATTAAAAACAGACACACGCCTGGCCCCAACATCAATTGATGTTAAGCAACTATGTGACCGGCGATGGTAAGCGTTTGTTTAAAAAAATGCCTACTCATGCCAATTTATTTGAGATAGATTTAGAAATGGAACTTTAATACTGTTGATTTAGGTTTATTGTGACAAATTTCAGTGATTGTATATATTTCTTATCTCTTAGTATTTATTAATTCCATTCTTTTTCTGTTTAAATAATATAATCTAAGAGTTAGCAAGTAACTATGTGTATTATTATGAAGTTATCTACATTGCTTACGTCAGGGGCTGCGCGGGCGCCGTTTATCGCGTCACAGAGCCCCTCATTGACGAGCTATTTTTACACCAAACGACTTACTGACTCTATCTCTGCTAGTAAGCACGTCACTCTACACTTAGAGTACATGGATAGATTTGTTTAAATATAGGAATAGTTGTTATTCGTGTCTAATTTTGGAAACTGAATATCGTTCATTCTGCCGTCAACTAACTAAAAATCAGTCAAATATCCGTTTTAAATTGCGTAAGATAGAGCTCAAAATTCTCTATTTAAAACCAGTTAAATTTATACCGACATATCGGAACTTACACTACTTATGCATAGGTAAAATACAATTAAATAATATTCTATAACTGAGTAAAATTTTATATGATCACTCATATAGCCGGGTTTTAGTTAACGGACGGCAGTATTTATATCAGAATGCATCATTATGATACGACTAATGTCGAATAGACGACGTCGTTCCTTTTTTTTAAAACTAAAATTAATAAACCCAAATGTGAGTTAGTTCCAATGTTTTCATATGCATAAAACCATATGACCATTCAATAGCAGTAGTAGCAGTAGGGGCTCCTTGTGGAAGAGTTTGTCCAGGGAAGTACTGCCATGTTACCTATTTCTGCCGCCAAGCAATAATGTGAAGATTACTGCGTTCCGGTTTGGAAGGGTACGGGTGTTGGTGAAGTCACAGGCACATGGGACTTGTCAGCGTGACGGGCGCAGTGGCAGTGCACCTAAGATCTTTGCGATTTAAAGCTCTGAGTGGCACTACAACTGTTACGTGTCGCTTTGCCGTCCGCTAACTAAAAGGCGGTTAATACTATAATCCAGTTTATGAATATTGAAATTGTTTGATGATATTTCAGCTATGCATCGTTAGGGTAAGTTCGTAGAAGTCGAACACGTTAACTAATTTGAACTGTTTTTAAAAGAGAATTTTGTAGGAAATGAAACTATTTTTCCGGATTTAAATCGCGTATATTTGTTTTTTCAAACAAACCGACATTCCGGGCGCTTTACAGGTCCCATGGTGACGATTTAAATTAAAATAGTTTCATTTCCTATGTGTAACAATCGCGAAAACCTAAGAACTCGATAGAGAATTTTGTGTTCTATCTTTTTCTATTTAAAGCGGATATTTGACCATTTGTCACTTAGCCGCTTGTTTGTCCCGTCACTTGGTGTTATTAAAAAAAAAACTAAATTGAATGTGAAACCCATTTGCGCATTATTTGTTACAGCCCAAACACTATAAACAGAGAGGAAGATGTCATTACTCCAAGGCCCTGTCAGTTAACGAGCAAATTGCTCGTGATATCGTGAGTCACCCATCTGACCTGTTCAGGTCAGCCTTGGCTACAATAACTGCAATTAACACGTCACGTTTATACTATAAGTATTTTGGGCGCTTGTGATATTGGGTAATCAAGGGCTCGGAAACCGGTTAATTCTAAACCGGTTTGGGGTCAATGACCCCGATAGTAGTAATTACAGTTTAGGTTCCGTTTATCGATATGTTTTTATAATTACCGGTTTTTCACAGGTTTCGATCGCTGTGATCAATATAATGAATACCGGTTTATTTGAGTTTCTATCGTCATTCGTGTTCAAATGGATTCGTAACAAATGGATTTTCTTTTATGACACTAAGTGACGAGACGATCAAGTCGTGAACCTGAGGGTACGCTACACGCCTGTCCATAGCAGTTGCGGTGCCGATCAGAGCTTTAAATGCCACTGCGTTCGCCACCCTGAAACATAATTTCTGATGTCTAAAGTCTGATGTGTTACCCACCCGTTAATTAATGTAAAGCACCCTATATTCTACTACAATTACAAAATGTATTCATTGTAAATACCGTACTTTTTTTACCTCACCATCACTTTCCATCAGGCGAGATGGAGGTCAAATGCGCACTTATTTTTTATATAAAAAATTTTTTTTGCAGTATATTTTACTTTGACTATATGATTTTTTATGAAATTAAAAGAATGCAAAAGGCGCGAAATGTTGATTTGTTTGAAAAAATATACACATAGTTATTTGTAAAATATTGATAACCTCTCAGGACTAATGATTAACATCATAGACAAAAACTTTTGTTTCGTGATTTTTTAGAAAA